CAGTCTTTTCGTGTTACCATTGGTTCATCATAACTGAATTGAAAGTTTGACGTTGGTCTCTTTGTGACCATTGGTTCATCATCACTGCAACTTGCTCCGGGGGCCTGTAAACTGGATGCAACTATCCGGCATCAAAAGCTCGGGTGCAGTTTTTCAAAATATGACGGAAAAATTCGTGCGCAGGGATTGAGCATCAGGTGTAGTCGATGGTTCTTGTCCTGCGTCGCACCTTGGGGGCGAGTGCCTGCAAACTGTTGGCACACAACGGCGATTTCGGTGGCTGTTGGAACAGTACTTCAGCCCATGCAGATACAATTCGGTAGACGCGACGTCAAGTTCTCGAGACAAGTTTTCTTAGGCAGGCATGGCGAGGACTGCAAACCGTCCAACTACCAGCAGCATCAGCAGCGGTGGTACCAGGCCCAGCATGACATCAATTCCTCGCGTAGTATTGCGGTCGTTTCGCGGCGCGCTTCAACGACCCGTGAACACGCGCCTCGGCCCTGTTCTCCTCCTCGTGTTGCTAATGTTCGCGTTGCTTCTCGCCGTCGCCTCCGGCGACCCCGTCAATCGCGGCGGCTCCCGCGGCACCGATTTCGGCGTGCAAAGGACGGCGAAAACGTGGAGAGTGCCGCAACAGTTTCTCGCGATGCGAAACCTTACACGAGCCGTTACTGTGTTACGCGAACAGTACGCGGCGGCGGCGTCTCGCGAAGGCGGCGCGAGCGAAAGTAGCACTAGGGCTGGGGTTACCACTTTCGCGAATGTCGTACCAAAGGAGGAAACGGACCCGAATGCGCCGTATACCGTGTTCGAAGTGGCGAGACCGATTGTGCGGCCGCAAGGGGCCGTGGAGTGTACAGTAACACTGTTCACGGATGAACCTTTCGCTTTTACGCTTGGTAACCCGCCGACGCAAACTTCGTACACCCCCGACCCGAACTGCGCCTCGGTGAGTAGGACTGTACGCGTTATAAAGAGGAAAAAAAGAGCGATAAGACTTGTTAGCTGGGACAAGATTCAGAAGCTGTGGTGAGGCAGTGTGTTGTGATGAGAAAGGGCGAGGGAAACAGAGAAGAAAAAGGGGTGAGTGGGACAAAATGTGGGGGAGGATGGTCGTTTGGGGGTATTTTGGCCGAGGTAATGTAAGGGAGAAAAAAGTGCGCGGAGACTCTTTGGATGGGGGGAAGGTACCTCAGGTTCGTTACCTTTCCCAGGTTGAGAAAGGTCATGGAATGCGTGGTAAGGAGAGGTTTTAGTTAGTTAGTTAGTTTGTTTGTTTGTTTGTTTGTTTGTTTTTTAATAGAATTCTCAACGTTGGCGCATTAATGAGATTGGCTTGGAGATCCGACGTGAGGCCGGCGAGTGAACGGTTGGATGTTGGCCGCAAACTGACGCGCCGCATGATTTGTTTCAATCTTTATGCCACGTGTCGCAGGCGGATTGGTCGCTGGCTGTGCTGTCGGTGGGCGTGAAGGTGAAAGGCGTGCAGTTTGACCGGCGCATGGTCATTTTCTTCGGCGGTTTCGAGGTTTCTAGATCAATGTGAGTGCTGTGTGGTAACTGAGAGTGAATCTGATTATAGTGTACCTGAGTCTCTCATTCTCCTCCTTATCATCCTCCTCATCTCTTTCAACCTTCTCCCATCCACTATCCTCTCCCATCCCCTCTCCCCTTCCCCCCCCCCTCCATCGCCCCCCATACTCGCCCCATCGTCCCCTGTTAGCTCCATCGTCCTTCCTTTTCCTTTCGCCCCATCTGTTTTCGTTAACAGCACTGCGGAGCCACTGGGAACAGAGATTCACTACTCGTTTGAGCGAGACGTCACCAATTATGCACCCATGCTTAAAACCGTAAGCAGCCACATCCTTTTCTCTTCCTTCCTCCTCTTTATCTCAGCTCTCTCCTCTCCTTGCCTCCTCCCTCCACCACTCCTCTCTTCCTCTTCTTCTTTCCTCCTCCCTTTTTCCTCTCCTCTCCTCCTCCTCTCCTCCCTTCTCCCCACCTTTTACACCCTTTTCTTCTCTTTACTTGCTACTGTCCAACATCTTGCCGTGCCATGCCATGCCATGCCATGCCATGCCATGCCATGCCATGCCATGCCATGCCATGCCATGCCATCCCATCCCATGCCATGCCATGTCATGTCATCCCATCTCATCCCATCCCATCCCATCCCATCCCATCCCATCCCATCCCATCCCATCCCATCCCATCCCATCCCATCCCATCCCATCCCATCCCATCCCATCCCATCCCATCCCATCCCATGCCATGCCATGCCATGCCATCCCATGCCATGTCATGCCATCCCATCCCATTCTATGCCACTCATATGTCACTCCATCCCATGCCATATCTCCTCCCCCCTTTCCCCCTCTCTCCCCCTCCCACTCCCCCTCGTTCCCCCTTACCTGTTCTCCCCCCCTCCCATCCTCCACCCCTCCAGGCATCCACTGTCTATGTGATTCTAGAGAACGTCGTCGACGGTGAATACACTGGGATTTTCAACGTCACCATCGCCCTCACAGCCTACAAAGGAACACCCCCCTCCACTCCCCCTTCCCTCCTCCTCCCTTTCTCCACCACCTACCCTTCCTCCTCCTCCTCCTCCCCTTACATTCTTTCCGGAGCCTCAGCCACTACCCGCAGTGCTATACAAACACTCTCCGGCTTTCCAACAAATGTGATTAAAGCGAAGGTGGAGCTGACTATGTCAATGCACGCGGACGACGAGTTTTATTACCTTTATTTCCCCAATAAATTCTACAATAGCCTTCCTAGTTCTTTAAAGCCCAAATTCAAGCCGGAAGGCGGTCCCTTTCGCGAGCTGAATCTTTTCATTGACGACCAATTTGCCGGGGCAATTTACCCTTTCGCTCCGCTTTACACCGGGGCGTTCAACCCGCTGCTCTGGTCACCCGCTGTTGGAATCGGGAATTTCGGCTTCCCGACAGTTACCCTCGATGTGACCCCGTTCGCAGGGGTTTTATCCAACGGGCAGCCGCACGAAATTAGGGTTTCGGTGGTGAATGCGAAGCCCGGGGCTGCATGGTACCTGACAGGGATCGTGCACGTGTGGGCGGACTCCGGAGTAACGTCTACTGCTGGGCCCCCACCGACCATCAAAGTGGCTCCCAGCAGGAGGAAAGAGAAGGTGAAGCTGTTTGAGAGTGCGGTGGTGAAAGCGCTGCGGCTGATGGGAGTGCGGCTGAGCATTGACGGGAAATACAGCACTGTTGCTGCACGTGACTACACCATCTCAGGTCAGTGGGCGTGTTGGTGTTGTTACAGTGTGTGTAACCAAGTAATGATGGAAACATCATTTCCAGTCACACTTGTGTCTGCTACTCACTTCCACACTTCCCTCTACAATCACACCCCCCTGTTGCTAGATCAAACCAACCACAGTAACCACTGCTGATGGCCCGGTCGCCACACTGGTTGCATTCCCCCCTCAGTGGATTCAGCAGGAGGTGGTGCAGGGAAAGGGGGGGGATGGCAACTACCGGATGGAACAACATCAGCAGCATTCATGCTTGTGTCTACCGCTCACTTCCATACCCCCCTCTACAATCACACCCCCCTGTTGCTGTCACACCAGGCACCGTTGCCACAGCTGACGGCCCGGTTACCACTCTTGTCACATCCTCCCTGTCAGTGGATGCAGCAGCAATGGTGCAGGGAGGCGGGGCAGCCATTACCTGGTGGAACAACGTTGGCATTAGGACAACTGTGACTGCCACACACGGAACAACCAGGGCTGTTCTGTCCTCTCAGACTGACACGTTCTCGTTCCCACTTCGAATCAAGCAAGCTTCTTCTGATTGTAAGTCATTCGGGTTTTCTGAATAGGGATGATCACAACCACAACTTGTGTTGGGCAGGGGGGAAGTGGGGGGGAGAGGGAGGAATGGGGGGGAATAAGCTGGTGATGGCGGGGCAGGGAGGAAGGGGGTGATTAACTGGCGGACTTTTGAGTTAACTCACAAGTCAGCAGGGAGGGAAGAGGGCGATAATCTGGTGGGACAACACGGGGGTCAAGACGAGACGAATGGGACCGCCAGCACACATGGAACAACCAGGGCTGTGCTGTCCTCCCAGACTGACACCCTTCTCGTTCCCACTCCGCATCAAGCAAACTTCTTCTCACTGTGAGTCATGGGGTTTCCTTAATAGGTGCAAGCAAGCACAGTCACAGTTGCTGGTGGGGTAGGTGGGGTGTTTGGGCAAGCAATTGGTTGGTGGTGGGGCAAGGGGTGGGGCGACAATCACCAGGTGGGGCGACAATCACCAGGTGGGGCGACAATCACCAGGTGGACCGTGGACCAACGTGGGCGTTAAAGGCGACTGTGATCGCCACACATGAAACGACCAGAGCTGTGACTGGCCCCAGACTGACACGTTCTCGTATGCTGTTATCCCGTCATGCAGCATATGGATCGGGCAAGTTTGACATTGACAGTGGATACAACCACAAGACGACAAAATCTCCATCTACATCATCCTCCTCAGCAGCGATATCATCATCCTCGTCAGCATCAGTATCACCATCGGTATCTGCATCAGCATCAACAACATCATCTTATCCATTATCCTCCTCCGCGCCAACTGCAACCAGCTTGCGGAACTCGCGGAAAGATTCGTTCAGTGTTCAGGTGGACTCAAAAGGAAATGTGATTGCTTCGTCCACTTCTGGTAGCCAGAAGTATGCATATAAGTGTAGCCCGGGCACTAGTGGGTGCTATTCGAGACAGATTAAGATGCGGCCGATTGAGGTGCTTCATAATAAAGAACTGACTAGCTGCTGAGGAGAATCGATTGTACAAGTAGGCTTGTGTATACGAGTACCAGAACCTTGTGAAGATATATATGTGCAAGGTTATTGTGGTGTAAGTTTTACATTTCATGCCAATGTAATCGCTTAGTACTGTTCCAAGATTGCCCATTTCCCCTAAAACAACCACCCTAGTTCCTCGACGCGTCTCCTAGTTCCTCCTCTAGTTGCTCCACTTCTCCCGATCCACCTCCCACTTGTTCGGGAACATGCCCATGAGCCTCCCAGAAGACTGCTGGTACGCGTACATGAATCCCCCCATCAGCCCGAGGATACCCGCACAGTACATGCTGGGCCCCCTCAGGTTGGCACTTCCACCTGATATAATGGGGTGGGGAAGAAAGGCACGAGAGGAGTGAAGGGGAAGGTGAGACATAGGGAATGCATGTGGTTCCTGGGTGTGCGCGTACACCCTAAACCCTGGTGCGCGTACATGAACCGCCCATCAGCCTGAGCATACCGGCACAGTACATGCTGGGCCCCCTCAGGTTGGCGCTTCCACCTAATGCCGGTGGGACAGTGGGATGGGGAGAAAACGAGAGGAGGGTAAGAGGGGACTTGCCATAGAGAAGCCATGTGGCCATGTGATTGCGGTGCACATACATAATCCCCCTGTCAGACCAAGGGCACCAGGACAGTACATGCTGGCCCCCCACAGGTTGGTGCTGCCACCCACCTAATGCAATGGGACGGGGAAGGGAGATACGTCAGGAGGAGTGTAGGGGGAAAAGCTCTCTTTTGAGAATTTTCAGGAGTGTTGGGGGAAAGGTAACAGAGAGAACGTGTACAGTACATGCTGGGCTTTTCACATTGGCGATTCCACATTATGCATTGGGACAGGGAGGAAACACGAGCGGAGGCTAGGAGAAGCGAGAACATATAAAGAGCTGGAATGTGTGCTTGTATGAATGCCCCCCCTTATAAGAACACCCATAAGCACAACCCACAAGCACACCCCTGCCATGAGCATACCCTATGCCATAAGCACTCACTCTGCACACCTCATAAGCACACCGGTTTAGAAATCAGAAAACACGGACAACAATGCCGGAGCCGTTGCGAATACGTTGAAATATAACTTCTACCTTGGTCAAACGAATGATGCTGGAAATCCTTAAGCAGAGATCGTGCATTGTAATTGTTCCTGAACAGTGCCGTACATGCGAGGATTTCTGAGGCGCCGCCTTTTGAGGCGCGTCAAGGAAAAAAAAAACAGCGAAGCGTCTCGTTCCGTAACGCATGTGCAACACCGGCCCGCGTCTACGTCGACGACGTACCTGCGAGGTAACCGAACGGTAGCGACACGGCGGTGAACGTGGCGACGTTTTTGTAGTCGCTGAACGTGAAGTTACCAACCGTGCGACCGAACGACGGCGTGCGATCGATCACCGGGAACTTGGGCTCGTCCAGAAAGATCCCCATCGCGTCGCTTGGTGTCGCCTGGTGTCGCTGCGTCGCTGATCGACTTCGTGTAAAGGATCGCGTGAAGGAGGCCCGACGAGGCTACGTGAACGTGTAGGGGTGAAAACGTTACGAGCGGATTCGTCCAGGTGGATTGACGGATTCGGTGGTGGATTTGACGGTGACGGCAACGACGTGAATGCGGCGGCCGAGAGGGGGACGAAAACGAAAGTCTAGAAAGGAAGGCGGGCGGATCGCGAAACCGTTGCACCCTCCTAATCTGCGCTCCAAGGCGGCTGGAAGAGGTAAGTGGCTCCTCAGTCCCTTCTGATGTAAAGGATTCCTCGAGATTAGAATTAGGGTTACAGTATCGGGGAGGAGTATGGCGTGTTCGAAAGACGCAATACGGAGACCGCAATAGTATAATTCTGGTTCTACTGCAAACTTGCTAGCACAAATTGAATACAGTAAGAGCTGTCAAACTACTGAAGGTTTACAGGGTCAGCAATGGTATAATGTGACCCATCAATGGGCAATATAAGGAAAAGATGGAATGAGTACAGCAATACATACACAACTCAGCAACAGTCTACAAGTCTTCAGTAGCTTAGTTCAACACGAAACACATTCTACAACATAGTTCAACATTAACAACACCATGTGTGGCAATCTATTTGCAAGTCATGACCCATGATGACTCTCGGTGACGGGCCTTTTTACCAGCACATGTTAACTGTCAACACTTCTTGGGTTATCAATGTCATTGCAGTCCACACTGGTGTACTCATGCTAAAACTTCTATTGCTGGTTACGAAGCAGCAGTAACCGCCATACCAATCTTCATCTCATTGTTACCAGTCTCCCGCTCCGCCTGCTTCCCCTGCTGTGGTTGCTGCAGCTGCTGCACCATCCCATTTTGCGACTCGGTGGTAAAATTCGGCTTATTCACACTCGCATTCCCATCCTTACCACCCTCCCTCAACCCCTCACCTCCATCCCTACCCATCATATCCACATCAGCTGATCGCCCACCTCTAGGCGGTTGCATCTGCTGCTGTGCTGGCTGCACCTGAGATTGCACCGGTTGCTGCTGCTGCTGCTGCTGGTGCCGTAACAGTTGGTTAGGGTTTGTCTGCTGCTGCATTCCTGCTGCATGCCCTGCTGCCAGTCCCTGCTGTGGCCCTGCCCTTGCATCAATCCCACCCTGCTGCTGCTGCTGCTGCTGTAGCAGGGGCGAGGTCTCCACACCTTCATCCTTGGGTATCATCTGTCTGTTAGTTTCCTGAGTGAAAGACTGCTGCTTAACATGCCCATGCCCATACCCATGCCCATGTGCATGCGAAATTCCTTGCGCCACCACCCCTTGCTGACCCTGACCCTGAACCTGCCCCCCCTGCCCCTGCGCCATCTGCCCTTGATTCCCCTGATTCCCCTGCCCCTGCCCTTGTCCCCCTTGCCCCTGTCCTCCCTGCCCCTGCCCTCCCCCCATCGGCGGCAGGGGCGGAGGGGGAAGCTCAGGGGCGGGGATGGGGGTCAGCTGGGGGGAGAGGGCGGAGGGGGCAGGGTTTGCGAGGGGGGCTCGTACATACAGCTGGCCGTGTAGGGTTACCACTGCTGACGTCTGATTTGCGTTGATGGCTGCAGGCAGCAGAATCACCTGCAGGGAGAGAAGGGAGGTGGGGAGGGGGAGGGAGAGATGGACTCGCAAATACAAATGACTGTGTAGGGTTACCACTGCTGACATCCAATTTGCATTGATGGCTGCAGCAGGAGTGAAGAATCACCCGCTGCGAGAGAGATGGGGTGGGAGGGGAGAAGAAGGGTGAAAGCCAGGTGAAAGGAAAGTTAGGGGAAAAGGCTGGATAGAAAATAGGTGAATTGAAAAAGCATTGCAAAAAGAGTACTTTGAAAAGGAGGTGACTGGGAAATTTTCCCTTTAAACACTTCTCACATGGTAAACAAAGCAGAGACCTCACGTTCAAATGAATGGTGTGACTCTCCACAGGTTTCACAGTTGCTCCAATATCGAGGCACCCACACAAGTCGAAGACACATACGCTCTCATGTTGTTGAGACAGCACAAAGGCATATAACAGCTGCAGTCTCACCCCCTTGAACGGTGTCACTCCCGATTTGTTGTCTGGTTGTCCGGTTTTAGAGATGACTCAAAACGAGGCGCCTCAAAAAGGCTATCCAAACGGTTCTCACCTTCTTGAATGGCGTCACTCCCCACGGGTTGTCTGGTTGCTCTGGCTCCCCTGCAATGACCAGCTTCCCTGCCGGCTCACACTGCACGCGCACCTGGAGAGAGAACAGAAAGAGTGAGAAGTGGTGAAGTGCGGGGAAGAGGTTTTTGTAAGGGTTGCTGTGGCTCCCCTGCAATGACCAGTTTGCCTGATGGCTCACTCTGCACTCGATCGCACAGGATTAGGGGTGGGAATGAAGTGATTTTCTAGTCGACTCAAAAGAAAAATGCACGGAGAGGAAGTGTGGTACATAATTCAAGAAGATGTGCGCGCGAAAAGAAAAGTTAAAAAAAAACCAAGTATATAAAAATAAATGAATAAAAAAACGCATAAGGCCTGAAGGAGCCTTCTCTACTCAGCTCACCTCTTCCCGCAGCAGGCCTGGGACGAGAGCGTAGATCTCAAAGCAGTCCGGCTGTGAACGGGCCGGGTGGGAACGGGCCGGGTGGGTGGGAAAAGGATGAAATGGGAGTTGCCAGGGCTGAGAAACGAAGACTAGCCTTGTATGCGATACGAGTTTCAAGGCGCTTCAAAAACCCGCCTGGAAATAGGACTTGAGAAGAGCAGAGAAGGAAGCAATTCAGCTGAGGAGGTGGGAGGGGCTATGGACGAGCAAACCGCCAAGGTGAGAACAAAGGTCTCAAGAGTGTGAGTCTTGAAATGACCCCAGATTTACTGTACTAAATCCAAACCCAACCCATGCGTACTGATCAACAGACGTTAATTTGAACCAGTAAGCCGGCAGACCCAAGTCGTTCACCACTGCCACCGCCCCATCATCCATCGCTGCTGCTCTCCCCTCCCCCCCCCCCACCCCTCCTCCCTCTCAACCCATCCCAGCCCATCCCGACCCATCCCAGCCCATGCGTACCGATCGGCGGACGTTGATTCGAACCCAGTCAGCCGGCAGACCCAAATCGTTCACCACTGCCACCGCCCCATCATCCATCGCTGCTGCGCCCACTCCTCCCCCTCCCCCCACTCCCCCCCCCACTCCACCCCCTACTCCTCCCCCTGTCCCCCCTGCTACCCCCACTCCCCCTCCTCCCACTGCTGCTCCTCCCACTCCCCCTCGCCCCGCTCCCCCATCCCCTGCATTCCGCCGCCCCCCCTCTCTCCCAGAAGTGCCACCTCCCCCAGGTGTACCTCCCCCACTCCCAGGCGGCCTGCCTCTCGGGCGGGGTGCATCTGCTGCCCTGGTCGCCGCCCCAGGTGTTCCTTCAGGTGTTTCCTCTGTTGGTTGCAGGGAGTGTGGGAGGTAGCGATTAAGGAGTAGAGGAGAGCCAAGAGAATGAGGTCTGGATGAGAATGGTTGAGAATGGATCAAGTGGATGAAAGTTTGCAACGGCTAACAAGAAAGGTAATCTTTCCTAATCCAACTGGAAAAGTTGATAAGGCAGTAGAGAGGCATGGGGGTGAGAGCGAAAATTCAGAGAGGGATGAATTTCAGGGGAAAAAACTAAGGGGGGAAAGGAGTTGGAGGAAAGATACTGTGTTGTGCCAAGGATTGAGAGAATCGAGTGTGTTGTGTTGCACGGTAGTTGAGAGGGGAAGGAAGTATTCAAGTGACTTGCATGCATGTATGCAATGCACGAGTTGACATGGGCTCGGCATGCTTTGACATGGGCTCAGCATGCTTTGGCATGGGCTCAGCATGCTTTGGCATGGGCTCAGCATGCTTTGGCATGGGCTCAGCATGCTTTGACATGGGCTCAGCATGCTTTGGCATGGGCTCAGCATGCTTTGACATGGGCTCAGCATGCTTTGGCATGGGCTCAGCATGCTTTGGCATGGGCTCAGCATGCTTTGGCATGGGCTCAGCATGCTTTGGCATGGGCTCAGCATGCTTTGGCATGGGCTCAGCATGCTTTGGCATGGAATGACCTCCCTCACTCTCGCTCACTCTCGCTCACTCTCTCTCACCTCCATCCTGGGTCCGTCTGTGCCGCTTTGGGCCTGATCCCGGGGTGCCGCGTTCCTGGACGGAAGATGAGCGCACAGCAGGGGGGAGGGGGAGAGGGGGAGGCGGAAGGGGGGGAGAGCGGGAGGGAGGGCGAAGGGGAGAACTGAGACGATCGTTTTGAAGCGCCTCAGAAAATAGCCGCTTTGGGGCAGATCCTGGGGTGCTGCGCTCCTGGATACAAGATAACTTTTGAGGCGCCTCAAAGGTTGTTCTGGGATGCCGTGCTCCTCAATACAAGACAAGATGTGAACAGCAAGGAGTAGAGGGGAGAGAGGGTTATGAAACGTAAGGAGGGACATGTAAAACCAGATGTGAGAAGCAGGGGAGAAGAGAGGAGAGGAGAGGGGGAGAGGGGGAGAGGGAAGAGAGGGGAGGAGAGCGGAGAGAGAAGTAAAGGAAGAGAACTGGAGGGGAAGGACAAGACGAGGAGAGAGGAAAGGATTGGCAGAATTGTTAAGGCGTGGGGGGGAAGTGGGGGGGAAGTGGGGATGGAAGTGGGGGGGAAGTGGGGAGGAAAGTGGGGGGGAAGTGGGGAGGGAAGTGGGGAGGGAAGTGGGGGGGAAGTGGGGGGGAAGTGAGGGGGAAGTGAGGGGGAAGTGAGGGGGAAGTGAGGGGAAGAAGTAGTGTGGTACATCCGCATTAACAAGCTGGTGAAAGTAATCCAAATTTGCTGCGTGCTCAGCTCCTCAAGCTACCTAAAATAACTCACCTTGGGAGTATCCGTGTGATCCCCATCAGCGGCTCCAGTCTTGGCTGCAGCCAATCGCTTGGCTCCACGTGGCCCACTGCCCCCCTGCTGTGATCAAAGCATAAAAACCGGGTAAACATAATATAATACTAGGTTAACCAGTCTCAACCATTCTCTTGGCTCCACGTAGCACATTGTCCCCCTGCTGCAATCCAAGCAACAGAATCAGATCTACCAGACACATGGGGTAACACCACACCACACCAGCATGCACCTCACTCAACCGCACCGCACCTCCTGGCAGGGGCTCACAGAACGCAGCACAGCCACCTCCTGCCCGCCGTGATGCTTGTTATCGGTGCGCGGGGTGATGGCGAGAGTGCCTTCCAGCAACGGATCCCTCTCTTGCGCCCACCACTACCCCGTGCCCACCACTACCCCATGCCCACCACTACCCCATGCCCACCACTACCCCGTGCCACCACCCCACACCCCACCCACCTCCGGGTGGTGCTTGCCGTCAGTGCGTGGGGTGATGGCTAGAGTGCCCTCCAGCAACGGAACCCCCCACACCCCCCCACACCCCTGCACCCCCGCACCCCCACACCCCTGCACCCCCGCACCCCCACACCCCTGCACCCCCGCACCCCCACACCCCCGCACCCCCACACCCCTGCACCCCCGCACCCCCACACCCCTGCACCCCCACACCCCTGCACCCCCGCACCCCCACACCCCTGCACCCCCGCACCCCCACACCCCTGCACCCCCACACCCCTGCACCCCCGCACCCCCACACCCCCGCAGCCGCACACCCCCGCACCCCCACACCCCCGCAGCCGCACACCCCCGCACCCCCACACCCCCGCAGCCGCACACCCCCGCACCCCCACACCCCCGCACCCCCACATCCCACCCACCTCCGGGTGATGCTTGCCGTCCGTGCGTGGGGTGATGGCGAGAGTGCCTTCCAGCATGGGGTCCACGCCTACGTGCTTCTCGTACTCCAGTAGCGCCTGGGATAGACGGGGTGAACGGAGGTGCAAGTGGGTGAAAGAGGGTGCAAGTGGGTGAGAGGGGGTGATGTTTATAGAGTGCCTTCCAGCATGGGGTCCACGCCCACGTGCTTCTCGTACTCCAGCAGAGCCTAAGGGGGTTGCAAGGTGGTGCAAAGGGGTGAGAGCAGGTGATGGCTAGCGTGCCCTCCAGCATGGGGTCCACGCCCACGTGCTTCTCGTACTCCAGTAGCGCCTGGGATTGCAGGGGTGAGAGAGTGGTGAACGGGAGTGCAAGTGGGTGAAAGAGGGTGCAAGGGGGTGAGAGAGACGGATGGCGAGAGTGCCTTCCAGCATGGGGTCCACGCCTACGTGTTTCTCGTACTCCAGTAGCGCCTGGGAGCGGTTGGGAGGGGTTGAAAAGGGTTGAGAGGGGTTCAGAGAGGTGCCCTCCAGCAAGGGGACCACGACCACGTGCCTCTCGTACTCCAGTAAAGGCTGGAGGCGGGAGGGAAGGAGGGTTGCATGTGAGGGAAGGAGGGTTGCATGTGAGGGAAGGAGGGACGAAGGGGGCGAGATGGGAGAAAGTGGGGAGCATGGTATGCGATCAAAGCATGCGCACAAAGCGTGTATTTTCCAGGGTCTCACGACAATCTTGTGGAAGACAAGAAATTATTTGCCCTGAAAAACTTGCCAGAACCCACCAGCCCTGTCAGAACCTACTGGCCCTGTCATGGTGGAGAAGCGCACCTTCTCATAGAAACCCCGGAAGGACCAGGAGAGTGTTGTGCAAGACCTGCACGCAAGCAAACACGGAACACACCGAACATGGAACACGATTCAGCATGGAACAAAACTGACAGACGTAGACGTTTACCACTAGCAAGGGAGGGAGTGAGGGAGTGAGTGAGAGTGAGTGAGTAAGTGAGAGTGAAGAAGGATCTACTGGCATCTTTTAGCAGCCATAAGTGAGAATGTTGCCTCAAGTGGAGGTCAGTATCTTGCTGGACATTCTCCTGACAGGATAGCTGGCTGCGAAAGCTGATGGAGCGAATAATAATAATAATAATAAATAAATAAATAATCAAGCTGCCTCAAAAACAAATGGAGGCACTGGCAGAAGGGCATACTTGGGAGGGTCGAACTGGTCCCCAACGACGCGCCAGAGCTTGCCACTAGTCACCTGTTGATTGGGAACCGAAAAGAGGGAAATTTGGTTTGAGAGTGATGCAGTTACGAGACAACAAGCAAGGGAGACCTTGAAAGGATGGCGTCGTAACGTCTTTCTCAAAAGGGAAAGTAACATGGCTACCCTGTCAAAGTCAGAATTCAAAACGTCGCATACACACACAGCATGCCATCAAAATGAAGGAGCAAAGGTGTCACCTTGTCAAAGCCACCGAAGGAGCAGACGACTTGCCAGAGCCTGCAAAATGAGGAGGTGGAGCGGAAGGGATGCGAGGGGGAGGACGGGTGGGAGAGGGCATGGGGGGAAAGGGGAAGCGAGTAGAGGGAAGAACGGGGGAAACGGACGATAAGGAACAAAACCTTCACCTACAGAACGCTTGCATGGAAGGGAGGCAACATGGTGATCGAGTTTTGAGGAGCCTCAAGAATCACAGCGCGGTAACGCCAGAGAAAAATGCGAGACAGCGAAATAAAAAATGGCCATTACAACGCTCCTGCTGCAACTTCTGCTGCTGCTGCTGTTGCTGCTGCTGCTACTGCCGACGGGATTGCCCTGTAGCAGTCCCAGATACGACAAATACCTATAATGAAGGTTCTCCGGAGCTCGTATCGTATCATACCATAAAAGGCCGGAATGATTGCGCGACTACGAGAGAGGGCGAAAAAGAGCGTGAGGATAGTAAGTTGTGGGGGGGGGGGGGGGGGGGGGGGGGGGAGGGGGGGGGAGAAGGTGAGGGAGAGTGTCGCAGCCCGTTTCAATACCCTAGCACGACGCCATACCTTTCGTGAGAATAGGTATAGAACCACTGTAACCTGGTAATTAACTCACTTCAGCAGATCGACTTCCACGCCATAAAACTTCGGAACCTTAAACTCCTGATGGCGCGACTCGAAGAACGCCTGAAGCTCCTTAATAAACGCCTTCGTATCCGCGCCGCGACCCGGCGGCGTCGTCTGTTGCGGAGTAGTCTCCATCCCCGACGAGCCGCTTGTTCCGCCGATAAAGGCCACCGGCGGGCCAGGCGTGCTCGGACCGCTTCCTTCGACACCAGTTTGACCAGCGAAAGTGCTTCCGGATGTTCCGGGAATTCCGGGACCGGCGATTGGATTCTTCCCGATTCCGTGACCGCCAGTAACGGTCCCGGGGGTAGAACCCGGGGTAGCTTCTAGTTGCGAGGGTATATTCTGGGAGGTGTGAATTCTAGATGGGTCTCGGGGGGGCTCGAAGCCGCGCGCAACAGGCGGCGGAAGTTGCGGGAGATTTGTCGCGACGCCGGATGGCTTTTGAGAAGCTTCAAAAGGCATCTGCGCATTCGGCGGTGCGCCAGATCCGTTTTCTGGACGGGCGACGGCTTCTTTGCCGTCCTCCATATTAGCTTCTTCAGCACGCACTAAGAAATCAGTTCGTTCGTACCAATAGTACGCGGGGTTGATGACACTAACGGGTGTATTAGTTCCGCCGGAAGCGGACTTACGAAGACGATGCCCTAGCTCCGCCGTTCAAGCTAACTCTTGCTGAAGTCTTCCTAACCACTTCACACGTCCTCGAGCGGCACAGCCTACAGTGCCAAGCGAAAGATAAGAAACGGAAACGGTCGAAAGAAGAAACGGAGGATTGTGGCTGTGAAGAGAAACCAGCGGCTCTTGCGGCAGAGAAGGGGCGACGACGAGTTGAACCAACCCAAATCCACAAGAAACAGCGCCATTCCTCCTCCAGCCCTAATTTACAGAGCGAGGCCGGGATTTTCCTCCCCCCAATTCTCCCCCACCCTACCAGCAACAGATCCCCAATTCCCCGCAATTCGCCTATCCAACACATGGCGGCGGGTGAGGTGGAATCGGGTTCGTCAGAGTTCGTCAGGAAGAAAGTGTATCTGGTAGCAGGGTCAAACATGTCGCAGCTCCATGTTGAGAAGCCCGAGTTTTCGCCGAATGAGTTAACGATTGCCGGCCACACCGGACACTCACTTGTACAAAACTGTCTCTGTTGATTCCTCCTGTACAGCTAAGAGTTTCCACTGATTAACTACAGTCGAGCTATTCCACGTGATAACATCTGGTACTTAAACCCATGATAGTATAACACTTCAATCTTTAAAAAAGGCAGGTACCAGTTTACTCCACTGCATCCAGATGCCTCCTTCCTGTGTAACTAAGACGGGACTGAAAAAACACTGTTGTTTCAGTGGCTTACCTGTAAATTCTGACAGAATCCACCAGTTCCAGTGCCGTATCTGGTACGGTATTACCTACGCTTGGGACCGGTGAAAGTGAATGTTCTTCCACTCCCAAGCTCCATCAGCACTCTTCCGCCTCTCCCATACTCTCGTTTCGTTGAACGCTTTGCTTCCCACCTTTCCCGAAGCATCAGTCGTTTGAACGAGACGTGTGTAGGAAACAACTCCAGAATTGCCAATTATGGCAACGTGGGGTGCGACCATTGTGGACTTTGATGAACCATTCCCTGTGCTGCGATCAAAATAGTATTTGTGGAACTCCAGGCCCTTGACCAAGCCACCTGTGAGCCAGAGAGTGAACCGTCAGAAACCATGCAAAAGTGCACTGGAAAAAATACATCCTGGCATGGAAATCTACATACCTTGTGCTTCAGGCTCAAAGGCAGAAAGGTGTTCGTCTGAGAGGTTGGAGTACGTTTTGTAATCCCCGGTGTCAATGGCATTCAGCAAGGCCTTCGTGTTATCAAGCAAATCACCCTGTGACAATGAAAAACTGTGAGCATTAAACTTTCTGGCAAAAAAGTATTTTCACAGAAGAGGAAGCTGCTGCATACCTCACGAAACTTGGTAAAAAGAGGGGAAACTGCTTGGAACACTTCGTCGGGGGAACGGGTGGCATCAACCTGCATGGAAGTCAGTGGAGTCACGGTAGCTTGCATTGCAACGGCAAAATCTCATGACATCAGTCATTCCAAACAATATGACACTGCCAAACTACAAACAGGGCCAGACAACAAAATGGTGATGCAAAAGCAAGCATTTGAATGGGCGAACTCGGACTTTGCCTAAAATAGGGTAGAAGTGTCGGAAGCAGAATAATCCAAGATGACAGTCACTGACCTTTCGCACTTTGCCACGCAAGTCATAATGGTTCACAACTGGAATACTCTGGTCCAAGAAAACCCGAAATCTCTTCTTAATCGTATCCATGTTATCGTCAATTCGTCCCTGCAGAAGATGAAAAGTCAAATTAGTACATGTAAAATATCTCTCGTTTTTTCCAAGGGAAAAGGGCCAGAAAGCTCACCTGGTTTCTTCCAAGAAGACGCTTGACCATCACGTCCTCAGGGCAATCAAAGAAGAGAATGAACTCAGGATCGATGCCAGTCTGCAAGCAACGAAGAGCTGTCAGGTTCCGAGCCAATACACTCAGACAACAACAAATACTTTAGCAGTTTTTGTATACCTGATTTTCAAAGACTGTCCTGTTATCGTTGTTCCGAGGAAACCCATCGATGAGGAACTTATTATTCCCACTCTCCTTCATTGCTTTCTGAAGAAGACCGACAGTGACCTCGGCTGGAACAATCTTCCCATCCTTAATCATGTTCTGAATCATGTTTCTGCAGCAAAAGAAGAACGTGCACTTCAGCAGCGAAACATCAATGCACGCGAACTTGCGGGGAGAGTGGGTGGGGGGGGGGGGGGGGGGGGGGGGGGGGGTGGTGGGGGGAAGGGTGGGGGGTGACTTCTTACCCGTGAGAAGATCCAGACTTGATCTCAGCACGTAAAAGATCGCCAGCGCTCAGATGGGTGAATCCGTATTCCTCGACAATCTTCGCGCATTGAGTTCCCTTGCCACTCCCAGGACCACCTGCTCGTGCGATCAGAACCGTTGAGAGCTTGGATAAAACTCTGCATCGTCTACGGCTAACGGATCATGACGCGAGGAACATACCAAGGACGAAGACGATCTGCGGTTTGAACGACCCATCTGGTCCTCCGGCATCAGACTTCCCCGCACTACTTTCCTGTACGGACGCGAAAGAAGACATCAGTTACCGGCTAGCACGATAAGGAGAAGAAAACGGAAAGCAATATGACGGTAACTACCTCTGATGAGGCTTCCGAAAGGGCGATTGATTCGGAAGTGCTGACGAATGTCGGAAGCGTGGCGATTCCACCTGCGGCCAGAAGCCATCCCAGACGACGCCATTTCTGCCGAGTTCAGAGGTACGCCATCATATTTCAGCACACTGTCTGAGTTCAAAACACTGCCTACAAAGTACACCATTTCAAAATGAGTCCTAAAAGATCCAGATCAACTGAACCACTCACGTTGGTCACAGGAGAAGTGACTCCTACAGATTCTGCAGTTCCAGCTGCACCGGCCGGATGTCTCAGAACCGCGCACGGCACCGCGTCTGCCTGCAATGCAGAATACGAGTGGCTAAGGTAACGCCTTTGAATGGGAGACGTGATCGGCTATCTACTTCACCTGATACTCACAAGCACACGCGGAGAGAACAGTGAAGGGAGGCGACCACGCTTCTTCAGGATCTCAGTAACAACATTTCTGGCAGCCATCTTGCTTGGTGGGCAAAGATCAGAATCTGGTCTAGCCACACCACAAAACAAGTAGAGAAGCCTAAGGAAAATGTGGTCGCAGGTGGACTGTCGACAGCAAAATCCAAACAGATAGTGGACTAAAGCTATTACTATTTTGCAGTTTTCGTGTCGATGTAGTATAATGGTCAGTATCTCCGCCTGTCACGCGGAAGATCCGGGTTCGATCCCCGGCATCGGCGATTTGTCATTTTCCAGTCGCCTTTTGACCTCGTTTGGAAGGCGCGAGAGCTTTTCGCAATACAACAACCTTGCATTTCTACATCCGTAATTATTTTGCTACAACAGGTCTTTCTCCTGCTCGTTAGGACGAATGGCTTCATCGCTACACAACGACCGTTTAGCCCCGTGCGCAACTACCGCCTCCGCCGCCTGCTGCTCGTGCCATGGCGCCTTCGCTCCCCCGATGCACCAATCACTGGAGGAAATGGACTTCCAGCGGGGCCTTGGGGGCGCCGCGCAACGGGGGGGACGTTGCGCGTGTTCGTTATTTGCTCGATCGAGGCGCTTGCGCCGACGGATGCTTGCCACGTGGCATCGACGAAAAAGATTCTGAGAGCGGGCTACCGAACGGGCACACGCCTCTGATCTACGCCGCGCGTGCAGGGCACGTGGAGATCTGCGATTTGTTGCTGAAAGTGAGTGGAAATTAACCCAAGCCAAAAAGAACATGAAATTGGACATTGTTGGGCCACGGAGCGTGAAAGAATTGGTTTTTTTGAGACGTCTCAAAAGTTGGGCCACGGAACATGAAAGAGTTGATTGTTTGATTGGTCACAGACGAAGTTGCCCTCGCGATCGTTCCGTCCCTTCTTCCCTGCAGCATGGGGCGTCAGTGGGAGCAAGGACGAGAGCAGCAGGCGTCATTGCTCTGCACCGCACTGCACCGCGCTGCAGAAACGCGGCATGGGGGGCTGGCTGGTCACAACTTGCACATTGAAATGCAGTCCGGAGCACTCCCCTCCCTCTTCTTCTCTGCAGCACGGGACATTAGAGGGAGCAAGGGCAAAAGCAGGGGGCGGCACCACTCTGCACCGCACTTGATGGGCGGGGCATGAGGGGGTGGTGCAGCTACAAATGAACTTTCACTGGCTAACGCTCCATCCCTTCCTTTTCTCTGCAGCAAGGGGCGCCGATGGGAACAGACTTTTGAGTTGACTCAAAAGTCATCTCGCTCCATCCCTTCCTTTTCTTTGCAGCAAGTGTCGCCAGTGAGAGCACGGATGAGAGCAGGGGGGCCACCGCTTTGCACCGGACTGCATGGGCGGGGCATGGAGCAGGGTGGGGCATGAAAGAACTGGCTGGTTTCATATGAGGTTGCATTTGTAAGCTCTTCCTCCCTTCCTCTCCCTCCTGCAGCATGGGGCGTCAGTGGGAGCACGGACGAGAGCAGGGGGCGCCACCGCTCTGCACCGCGCTGCAGGGGCCGGGCATGAGGGGGTGGTGCGGCTGCTGCTGGCACGTGGTGCTGACGTGGCAGCTGTTGATGCTGATGGTTTGACTGCTGCTGACAAAGCTAGTGAGTGGGAGAGGGAGTGGAGAAAGAGTGGGAGTGGGAGAGGCAGAGGTAGAGGGAGAGGGAGAGGGAGAGGGAGAGGGAGGGGGAAAGGGAGGAAGTGTAGGCAGAGAGAGCACTAGAGAGGTAGATTAGGTCAGCTGGCGATGCTGATGGCTTCATTGCGGAATCAAAACTTGTGAGTGAGACAGCTGGGGCGAGGGAGAATGCGCCGAGCTCTTATATGTCTCTCGCTGTCTCATCATCTCTCGTTGTCTCATCATCTCTCGTTATCTCATCATCTCTCGTTGTCTCATCATCTCTCGTTGTCTCATCATCTCTCGTTGTCTCATCATCTCTCGTTGTCTCGTCATCTCTCGTTGTCTCATCATCTCTCGTTGTCTCATCATCTCTCGTTGTCTCATCATCTCTCGTTGTCTCATCATCTCTCGTTGTCTCATCATCTCTCGTTGTCTCATCATCTCTCGTTGTCTCATCATCTCTCGTTGTCTCCTATCATCTCTCGTTGTCTCATCATCGCTCGTTGTCTCATCATCTCTCGTTGTCTCATCATCTCTCGTTGTCTCTTTCATCTCTCACTGTCTCATCATCTCATATACACCATGCCAATCTCCCCACACATGACAACCCCAATGCTGCCCCTATTGCACCTACCTTGTGCATACTTACCCTGTGTATCCATGCAATGTTTTATTGAGGCGCTCTTAAAGCCGATTGAAAAATCGACCCCAATGCTGCCATATTGCTCATGCATGATGCACCTGTGGCATGTTTCACTGAAGCGAAGCACTTCAAGAGATCCATGCCCATGTGCCCGCACCCTGACATGACCGCCTGGTGCTGCCATGTCGCACCTTGCTCATGTCCCTGTAGCATGTTTTGTGGAGGCGCCTACAGAGATTCATGCTCATATTGCCCTTGCTCCTGATTTCTCGGTGTGTATATCTTATTTGACGCGAGGCATTGTTGTGCCATCCTTCCAATGTACCGTGCATGGTGCAGGGAGTCAGAATCACAAGGGCATTCTACCACTGCTCTCCGCGCACCAGCCCGAGCTCCCCTGATTGCTGAGGTCTCGCCAAACATCAGTACATATATGTGTAACTCACAGATAAAACTGTATATAAACATGTAGAAATCATATAAAGGAAGAAGGGTTGCGTTCTTTCTACAAACAATGTTCAAAGCTGAACAGGGAGCAGCATCAGTGGCCTAGGTATCTTCCGTCCATCTCATCCATTCAAACATCTTATCTTTCGTCATATCCTATCCCATGCATCTCATCCATTCACACCATCTCAATTGTCGCATGTATCTCAACATCCATTCACACCATCTCAATTGTCCCATATCTCAACATCCATTCACACCATCTCAATTGTCCCATATTTCAACATCCATTCACACCATCTCAATTGTCCCATATCTCAACATCCATTCACACCATCTCAATTGTCCCATACCTCAACATCCATTCACACCATCTCAATTGTCCCATATCTCAACTCAACATCCATTCACACCATCTCAATTGTCCCATATTTCAACATCCATTCACACCATCTCAATTGTCCCATATCTTAACATCCATTCACACCATCTCAATTGTCCCATATCTCAACTCAACATCCATTCACACCATCTCAATTGTCCCATATCTCAACTCAACATCCATTCACACCATCTCAATTGTCCCATATCTCAACATCCATTCATCACGCCATGCACCTCATCCACTCACACCATCTTACCAATGTGTCCCATATTCCACACACCTCGTCCATTCACAGACCCCACGGCTCTCATCCATCTATACCTCCATATTTCCTTCCTACCGTTGCCATAGGTCCTTTTCGAGGACCTTTTGAGCAAGAGATTATAATATTTAAGACCTTGAAAAACCCATTTGGAATGTGAGTAAGGTGTGTATACATGAGCTAAATTATTTTGACCAGGGGGGTGAAAGCCCAAGACCTGAATTACTCAACGGAAGTCAACGCTAAAAACTAGGTTCGGGAGGCAGGCACGGAGAGGCTCGGTTGGGTTGCGCGAGACTTTCACTCGCGAAACCAATTTGCGACAAAACTTTCTCGCTTCCCATGATGGCTGGGGTTCTTCCCACAACCAGAAATGCGCGAGCATACCAAACTGTGCACAGTTTGAGATAGCACGTAGAGTATTAGGTATAGACCATACCTGTAGATAGCGCAGGGCGTCGGCGTTCACTCATATGGGATCAGATGCGCCATACGACGTGGGTGGCGCGGATTTCGATGATGATGCGCAAAGCTAGGGTCCGCTGGATGAAGATTATTGTGTCGAAATGCATGTTATTGTGCAACTAGCGTAATCTTGCGGCGAAAATCGAATCGCCACCGTTCGCCCAAACGTGACCCTCCCCTCGCCCTCGCTTTCCTTTCCCACGCTTCCGCTCTCTTTCGCCCGCGTCGTCGTCGTCGCTTCCGCAGCTCGTCGTGTGCCCGTCGCCTTCGCTCCGCCCGTCGCCTTCACTTCTCCCCCGTCGCCTGCACTCCCCCCCTCCCCCCCCTCTCCCGTTGCCTTCATTTCCCCCTCCCGTCGCCTTCACTTCCCCCTCTCGTCGCCTTCACTTCCCCTCCCGTCGCCTTCATTTCCCCCTCCCGTCGCCTTCACTTCGCCCTCTCGTCGCCTTCATTTCCCCCTCCCGTCGCCCTCACTTCCCCTCCCATCGCCTTCATTTCCCCCTCCCGTCGCCTTCACTTTCCCCTCCCGTCGCCTTCATTTCCCCCTCCCTTCGCCCTCACTTCCCCTCTCGTCGCCTTCCCTTCCCCCTCCCGTCGCCTTCACTTCTCCCCCCCGATGCCTTCGATTCCCCCTCCCGTCGCCTTCCACGCCTGCCGCACTCGCTCTCCCGCCCGTCACACTCGCTTCCCCACCCGTCACCTTCACTTCCCCTCCCATTGCCTTTCACTCTCTCCTGTTCACTCTCTTTCCCCCTGCTCACTCTCTTTCCCCCTGCTCACTCTCTTTCCCCCTGATCACTCGCTTCCCCCCTCCTCAATCTCTTTCCCTCTGCTCACTCCCCTTGTTCTAACCCCACTCTCCCCATTTCTCACCCATTTTCCCCCTTCACGCTCTCTTACCCCCATTGCTCGCCCCTGTTTTCCCGGCTCACTCCTATACTCACTCTCTCCCCCCCTGCTCACTCTCTTCCCCCCCCTGCTCACTCTCTTTCCCCCTTCTCTCTCTCTTTCCCCTTCACGCTCTCTTTCCCTCCCTTCCGCCCGTTGCCCCCCTTCGTCTCATCGCCCTCCCTGCTGCTCGTCGCCTTCGCTCCCGCTCGTCCCCTCGCAATCCCCGTCTCTCTCTCCCCCCGTCGCCCTCCCTTCCACTCCTCGTTGCCCTCGCCATCCCTCCCTTCTCCCTTCCCATCTCGCACACTTTTCACGCCCCCTTTCCAACCCGCACATACACCCTTCCCTTCTTCCCTGTTTCCCCGTATCCCCTGCGCTGCTTTCCCTCATCCTCCGACTTGCTCCCCCCATCCCCTTCCCTGCTTCCCCCCGTCCCCTCCCCTGCCTCCCCCCATCCCCTTCCCTGCTTCCCCCCATCTCCTTCCCTGCTTCCCCCCATCCCCTTCCCTCCTTCCGCCCGTGCCCTCCCCTGCCTCCCCCCATCCCCTTCCCTGCTTCCCCCCTTCCCCTTCCCTGCTTCCCCCCCGTCCCCTTCCCTCCTTCCCCGCGTCCCCTCCCCTGCCTCCCCCCATCCCCTTCCCTGCTTCCCCCACCCCCTTCCCTGCTCCCCCCCATCCCCTTCCCTGCTTTCCCCCTTCCCCTTCCCTGCTTCCCCCCATCCCCTTCCCTCCTTCCCCCGTCCCCCTCCCAGCATCCCCCCATCCCCTTCCCTGCTCCCCCCCATCCCCTTCCCTGCTCCCCCCCATCCCCTTTCCTGCTTCCCCCCATCTCCTTCCCTGCTTCCCCCCATCGCCTTCCCTGCTCACCCTTGCTCCCTCTGTTTCACCCTTGCTCCCTCCCCTTCTTCTCTTCTCACTCTCTTCCCCCTTCCTCACTCTCTTTACTTTTGCTCACTCTGTTCCCCCCTGCTTCCTCTCTTCCCCTCCGTTCAATCTGTCCCCCGCTGCTTCTTCTCTTCCCCTCTGCTCATTCCGTTTACTGTCTTCCCCCCTTCACTCACCCCCATACCCCCCAATGCAGTTGCAGGTGCCCAGGACCAGATGTGGCTTAACATGGCCTGGTTTATTGCTTGCAGTATAGCAGACAAAACCGGGAAGCAACATTACACACACCCCCAAGCTTTGTTCCCTTCTTGAGTCTCGTGATTCCTCTTATTTTACAGATACTGCAATATGTTAATTGTTGAACTCCTTGGTATTGGTCATGTGTATGACTGCTCTGAGGCTCATAATCCTGTATTATTACAAATTATCCAATACATGGCAAGGCTATACGTCGTGTTACTATCAGACAGCCAGCACATCACAAACCCAGAAGTCAGATGTGATGTGGTTGAAGTATAAGGGAAGCAGGCATGCAAAAGAATGACAACTGGCAAATAAGGAAAGGAGGAACGGAGGAAGGGAGGAAGTGAGGAATGCAGGAATGAAGGAAGTGATGATGGGAGGAAGGGAGGTAGGGAGGATGCTTGGGGGAGAAGCAGAAGGGAGGGGAGGAAGAGAGGCTGGGGAGGAGGGAGGGAAGGAGGGTGAAACTTGGCAGAGGAATGATGGGATCGGGAAAGGAGGGACGAGGAAACGAGGAAAAGAGGAAACGAGGAATGGGGTGGGGCAGAAAGGGGTGGGGCGGAATGGGGTGGGGCAGAAAGGGGTGGGGCAGAATGGGGTGGGGCGGAATGGGGTGGGGTGGAATGGGGTGGGGCAGAAAGGGGTGGGGCGGAATGGGGTGGGGCAGAAAGGGGTGGGGCGGAATGGGGTGGGGCGGAAAGGGGTGGGGCGGAATGGGGTGGGGCGGAACGGGGTGGGGCGGAATGGGGTGAGGCGGATTGGGGAGATGAGGGATGGGGAGATGAGGGATGAGGAGATGAGGGATGGGGAGGCGTGGGATGGGGAGGAGAGGGTTGGGGAGGAGAGGGATGGGGAGGTCAGGGATGGGGAGATGAGGGATGGGGAGATGAGGGAAGGGGAGATGGGGAATGGGGAGATGAGGGATGGGGAGATGAGGAATGGGGAGATGAGGGAAGGGGAGATGAGGAATGGGGAGATGAGGGAAGGGGAAATGAACGTGTATGCGACAGAAGGGTGCTGCTGGCCACTGGCGGTGGGCGACAGTGGCAGTGGGGGGAAGCGTGGGCGACGGTGGCGGTGGGGGGAAGCATGGGCGACGGTGGCGGTGGGGGGAAGCGTGGGCGACGGTGGCGGTGGGGGGAAGCGTGGGCAACGGTGGCAGTGGGGGGAAGCGTGGGCGACGGTGGGGGGAAGCGTGGGCGACGGTGGGGGGAAGCGTGGGCGACGGTGGGAGGAAGCGTGGGTGACGGTGGGGGGGAGCGTGGGACAGAGTAACTCAGCCATATGAAAGGAAACACCTGAGGCGCCAAAGAGGCAAGGGCCCACTGCAGTACAAGAGAAGCACTGGATGCAGGTAGACCAACGAGGGGGAGAAAGAGCCGACATCTGATGGTGCAGGCTGGGAATAACCCTGCAAATCACACGCGGGTAGCCCACCCATTCCCACGTCACGTGGCCCGTCACCCCGTCCACCTGCAGCGGTGCCTTCACAACGGAGAAGGGAGGGGAGGACGACTGTGGGGTAACGAACGAACAGAGTAAGGGAGGAGGGCAGGAGGTAAAAGTGTGGCAGGGTATAAGGGTGGATAGGATAGGAGGATGCCTGGACCCTCTCTCCCTCCCCTCCGCCTCCCCTGCCCTGCCTCCCCCGCTCCCCTGCCCCTTGTCATCTGAAGCACTGCGCTCCTTGCTGCCCAACTGCACGCGCTGCCCCGGCTGTGCGCCCAGCGCTCTGCTCCAAAGCCGCAGCAGCACCTGCCATGCGTGTGGGGTTGGTGCAAGAGAGAGAAGGGTTGGTGCAAGAGAGAGAAGGATGGGTGCTGCTGATGCACCCTGTGACATCCCACCGCGATCGAGTCACGACCCCATCCCTAGTGCTCGAGACCTGCCCGCCATACGTCCGCGGCCAGGGTGGGTGAGAGGCAGGGAGGGAGGGAGAATGAGAGAAGTAAAGGAGGGTGCAAGGATGGGGTGGTAGGAGTGAGAAGGTGGCAATGGGGAGAGCGAGAGCGACCAAATACGGCAATGGGAAGGGAAGCAACAACGAACCTAAAGCCGATAGGAACGGATGAGAGGGTGGGCGGCGTGGGTGGAGAAGCAATGGTGATGAAGAGGTGGAACGTGATAGGCAGGGGACTGATGACGACGTGGAGAGAGGTGGGAGAGAAGGGAGGTCGGCGGGGAGGCTCATTTCCAGGCGACAGGGAGGACGATGAGAGGGGAAGCGTGGGCGACGGTGGGGGGAAGCGTGGGCGATGGTGGGGGAAAGTGTGGGCGACGGTGGGGGGAAGCGTGAGCGACGGTGGGGGGAAGCGTGAGCGACGGTGGGGGGAAGCGTGAGCGACGGTGGGGGGAAGCGTGAGCGACGGTGGGGGGAAGCGTGAGCGTCGGTGGGGGGAACCGTAGGCGATGAGCGGGGAAGCGTGAGGGAAGGTGGAGGAAGGAAGGGGTGAGCGACGATGTGGGGAAGCGTTGGTGAAGGCAGGAGGAAGCGTGAGCGGCGGTAAGGGGAAGCGTGAGCGACGGTGGGGAAGAGCTCGGGCGACAGTGGGGAAGAGCTTGGGCGACGGTGGGGAAGAGCTCGGGCGACGGTGGGGAAGAGCTCGGGCGACGGTGGGGAAGAGCTCGGGCGACGGTGAGGGGAAGCATGGGTGTGCGTGGGGGAGTGTGTGAGAGACGGTGGGGGGAAGCGCGTGGAACGCGGAAGGCGATAGGGCCTAAATGCGATGTCCGCGGGGTTGCGATGCCAGGGCGAGCGAGATCGAAAACGTGATACGCCACTAACATAGTTGCTGTCATGCCGATAAGCCACGACCATCAATCTGTTCGGGGATTCTATTTTGGCCGCAGGATAGATACGCCTGGATTTCTAAGGGTCCCGTAATATTCGTGAAAGCGATCGTGGCCTATGCTATGTTCGATTTTTTTCCCGGACTCTTGGAACAATCTACGAGTAGTAGGAAAAGCACGACCTGAATTACCAATGTAGGCAAACTATGCACACTTTGAGCGGTTGTTCCTAGAGAAAGGTGTTGGGACGCTCGCCAACCAAACATGTTCTGCTGCACGACTCAGTCTTTTTTTTTTTTTTTTTTTTTTTTACAACATTTTTTTTCCCCTCATAACAGCAATCTCTTCACGAGGTTACGAACACTTTGTGTCTCGCCATAGTGTGTCTGAAAAAGAAAGGGAATGGAGAAAGAAAGGGAGAAGGAAAATGAAACTCCCAAAAAGAACCCAAATGCAACACACATAAAACCCCCCCTCAAGTTACCCAATCAAAACGCCCAGTCAAGACACCCCATCAAGACATCCCATCCCACGCCCCATCCCCACCCCCCCCCCCCCCCCCCCCCCCCTCCCTCCCCCCTCAATCACATCAACGTATCGACCATGTACGGGGCTGAGAAGAAACGAGAATGGATGAACTATGAATGAATTGGGTACAAGTACTAACCCTAATTGGGTTGTACCCCTTATGGGATACCCCACTATAGCCTACACAATATGCATAAGCTACAATGTTCTGACACACCCCCATAGGCAAAGTGGGGGAGAACAAGGGGTCACAAGACCAGTCAAGCAAAGCAAAGCAAGCTTAGGGTGGATCACAAAATCACCACACATTCCGAGCACAAGTTCAAGGCCACAAGGCCAGTTCACATGCAGGATTACATATATATATAAGGCTAGACAAGCAAGAGCAGGTGTATATATATATGTAACAGTACAAGCAAGGTCAAGAGGTGAGCAAGTGAGGCAAGGTAGGCACAAGGCCCAGCTGAGTACAGAAGCGCTGATGGTCACAAGGCGCAAGTGCCTTGGTGAAGATATCAGCAGTGTTGGCCTCAGAGGCCACGCACGCAAGACGCAGCTGACCACGCTGCTGCAACTCATGAGCAAGAAAGTCCGTCGGAGAGCAATGTGCTTCGGCCGTCGGAGGCTCCACTGGGTGCCAGGAGGGAAAGTCCCAGTGAAGCCAGGTGGGCGGCGCAGCCAGATCTCCTCGTGCAGGCTGCCCTACAGGAAAGCTGTGCTGAAGTCAAGAGAGTGAAGCTCGTAGTCACGGCGAGCAGCTATGTGCAGCAGTACCCGAAGAGTGGTCATCTTCGGGGTGGGAGAGAAGGTCTGAAAGTAGTCAACTCCCTGCCGCTGACTGAAGCCACGAGCCACGTAACGCGCCTTGAAGACAGGCGGAGAACCCGGCGGCCGCTTCACCCTGAAAATCCACATGCCACTGACGATGTTCGCCCCAGGCGGGGGAACCTCGTCAATGTCACCGAATAGATTGTTGTTAGCAATATATTCAGTTACTCGCTAGTGTAGGTGTAGTAGGATTATTCGAAGCACTGTAGAAGGTGAGTTTGGTGCGTGGGTAGTGACGCGAAGTAGTGACCCAGGGACTTGCGAGGTGCAGGGTGGGACAGATTCAAGGGCGAGCCCTGGGCAATCCGAAGGGCCAATCCTGAAGCCTGGCGGGCGGAGCCCAATGTGCCTTACGGGAAACTGCACGGCACGGGGTAGCTGCTCAAATAGGCTAGGAACTCACTGTTTAGTCCGTTCTCTTGTTTGTTTGCTCGTAATAGTGGATATAGGTTGCCGTTTGACAGCTAACTCCAGCTTAGGCGACTAAGCCACTGTGAGCAGCCATACGTGAGGGAGGCAGAATCTCTCACAAACAAGAGAACGAAGATCGGGCAGAATGGACTGCCATGAGCTGCAGTGGCAGCAGACGTACTCGCGTCGGGAGTTACCACCGCCGCGAAGGATGCGGGGAAGATCGCCAGGTCGCTCGCCTAGGAGAGAGGCGGATCGGGTGGATCGGATGGCAACCAGCGACGGACGGCGCGGCGAAGGCGAGCTCGGTCTGCAGACGAGATCGGCGCCAGGACCCCAGCCGCCGAGGAGCGATCCCTGAAATCTGGCAAGAGGCCAGCGGGGCGCGGGAGTAAGGCGTCAGGAGGATGCCGACGAGACGGACTCGCTGATGTCGGCAAACGAGGCCGACGGCGAGGAGACGGCGGAAGATGATCCAAGGAACGCGGGAGCAGATCGCTCGCCGGACGACATGCGCGAGGGAGGCGAGATGCACCGCGGAGAGAAACGCGAAGAGTGCGGAAAGGCAACGGGATCGAGTCGCTCAACAGACGAAGAGCGCGGCGAATGGAGCAAAGACGCAGGCAAAGATGGCTCGCTGGTAGGGATGCGCGGAGGCTGCGCGAAACAGCGCGGGAGCGCGGATACATGTCTCTCGGCGGACGAATTACGTGAGAGCAGCGCGGAGGCAGATCGCGCACCAGGGGAGGTGCTCGGGAATGGCGCAAGGCGCCAGGGGAGCAGCGCGGAGGCAGATCGCGCGCCAGGGGAGGTGCTCGGGAATGGCGCAAGGCGCCAGGGGAGCAGCGCGGAGGCAGATCGCGCGCCAGGGGAGGTGCTCGGGAATGGCGCAAGGCGCCAGGGGAGCAGCGCGGAGGCAGATCGCGCTCCAGGGGAGGTGCTCGGGAATGGCGCAAGGCGCCAGGGGAGCAGCGCGGAGGCAGATCGCGCTCCAGGGGAGGTGCTCAGGAATGGCGCAAGGCGCCAGGGGAGCAGCGCGGAGGCAGATCGCGCTCCAGGGGAGGTGCTCGGGAATGGCGCAAGGCGCCAGGGGAGCAGCGCGGAGGCAGATCGCGCTCCAGGGGATGTGCGCGGGAGTGGCGCGAGGCGCCGCAAGAGCAAGGAGAATGACCGCGCGACAGGGCGCATGCGTGGGGAAGACGGACCGCCGGAGCCACAGCCGGAAACTGAGAGGAGGAGGCGTATGGAGATGGGAGCTCAACGATCGCCAGAGCCGTGGGACGAGGAAGAGGATAGACGGGAGCTGCGAAGGCGGAATGCACTACCATGGGAGGTACCTGAGGAGAAAATCAGGGGGAAGGCGGAAAAAGAGGAGCTAAGAAGGAGAAATGACGAGCAATACAGAAGGAGGGAGAGGTCGCCTGAAGGGAAGACAGGAAGTGAGAAAGAGGAGTATGAGCGAGGGAAACCAGCGGGTCGAAAGGGACCTGGTGCATGGGAGCGAGAGAGGCTATATCAGGAGAACTTGCCTGAGAAGAAAGAAGGGCGATGGGAGGAATCAGAAAAGCGGAGGGAGGCTTATGAGGGTGAGCGAGGAAGGAGTCCACTGGGGCCGAGGAGGCCATGGCAATCAAAGGAAGCTAGAGCAGCCCGGGAGGGGCTAGAGAGAGTGTTGTACGGGACGAGCTCGGGGAGAAGAAAGGAGCAGCGTAGACGGCGAGAGTTGACGCCTGAGCATGACAAGGAAAACGAGGAAGGAGAGTGTGGCAGACCTGCACGCTATGGAGTTGGCCGAAGGGAGAAGCCATGGGAAGAATATTCCCCTGAAAAGAGAGAGAGTCCGGGGCGGGAATCAGAGGGATATAGGGAGACTCGTGAGAGAGAGCGGGGAAAGAGCCCAAGTCAGAGCTGGCAGGGAAGGCCGCAGCAGTCATGGTTGGGCTCGGGAGGAGCCAGAGCAGCCAGGGAAGGTGTCTATCGAGTGCTGTATGGGACAGAGTCAAGGAGCAGGGAGTCGAGGGAAAGGAGAGGAGAGAGTAGCAGGAGGAATGAGATCTCAGGGACTTGGGAGACGGGAAGGTGGAGTGTGCAGGCCCCACCTCAGGTGGAGGTGCCGGTGCGCTTTACGGGGGGAGCGGGATCTGGAAGCAACCTGAAGAATTACCTGATGCAGATCGCTAATGTGAAGTACCGCTGCGATAGAAGCGGGATGGACCCGATAGAGTTTTTCTTAAGCCTACCGCGTACGTTGGGGGGCGAAGCTGAAACGCTGTACCGAATGAAGATGCCGGAGTGGCTGAGGCGGGCAGAGGAGGATGGAGATGATCCCACGACACTGTTCCTAGAGCGGCTGAGAAAGCAGTTTCCAGGGCACACGGCCGACCGTATCCGAGAGTTTCAGGAGTTTAAGCGGAGTAAGGCAGAGTCACTACTCACATACTTTGGGAGGCTCACTAACCTAGCAGAGGATGTGGCCTGCACGGACAGCAGCATGTTGATTAGCAAGTTCTTGGGGGGTTTAGATGTAGGACTGAGTGGAGGGCTGAGAATGAGAGTGTATGAGTTGGGAGCTGAAGCAACATTGGAGGAGGTGTTTGAACTGGCGGAGAAAGTGGAGCTTGCGCAGAGGCGGTACGAGGCATACCTGCCAAGGGCGTCAGATAAAGGGCGGCCCAGCTGGGCTGCAGCAATGATAACCGAGGACGAGGATAAGGAGGAGCAGTGGCAGGAGAGGCGAGCAGATACACGCACGTGCCACAGGTGCGGGCAGCAGGGGCATATCAGGAGGGAGTGCAGGAACTGTGATGTGTGCGGAAGATCGGGGCACCGCCGAAGGGACTGCCCAGATGCACCGATCTGTGCGATGTGTAGAAAAAAGGGGCATAAGGCCAGGGACTGCCATGATAAAATAAGGGAGGCAAGGAGATCACCCGAGGAGATTGAGGGACAAATCGAACAATTGCGAGCCCAACTGGAGGCGCTGGGAGAAAGAACTCAGGGGCAAGCGGGGTTGTACGCGGAGGAGGAAGAGGAGCAGGAGCCAGAACACTCCTGTGCGGTGCTGCGTAGCCATGCAGAAATGCGGCTACGCAGTGGGGGCAAGGACGGACGAAGGAAGCAAGTGAGTAAGGTGGGGGCATGGGCGTGTATGTTAGTAACCCCAGCAGCAGCAGGAGCAGAGGAGTGGGACGAGCCGGCGGGGGCAAAAGCGTGTGTAGTAGCAGCGGCGGAAGCGGAAGGGAAGAACGAGAAGGTGGGGGC